ATACTGAGAATACCAAACATACACTATCCTTATTCAGACAAGCAAATGCCAGGTTGGGGAGCCCCTGATCCAGGGTTTTGTGCCTAGCAAATAATTAGAGGGGTTGAGGTGAGAGCCTATGCAAAGCCTACAGTGTTGCAGAAAGAGCTCTTTCTTAATGAGGAATATAATGATGTGTAAGATCATAATTTTTTTCTTGTTAATATTTAAACATTCTTCAGGCAATTTACTGCATTTAGTCACTTATCAAAAGATGAGGAGGTGGTCTTTTTGCTTTTCTATAAAGAATTAAAGTGGTGTCCGGAATTGGGGGAGTGGATGAAGATACTCCGGCCTGGGGACAGAGGTGAGGGAGGGGAGGCATTTATTAGCTGCAACATACAGAGGCTGGCTGGTTCAGAGAGGCTGCACCTGCTCTAGTCACTCAGCTTGGCTCTTAGGTGAGGATTCATGAACCCATCACCAGTTGGCTTAATGTAACCAACAAGAGTCAGATTCCCAACCCCCCTTGCCCCCAAATCGCCAACCAACTAACCTTTAAACCAAGAGTTAAAACAACCCACAGCTAAAAAAAACCAAAAAATCAAAAACAAACAAACAAACAAAAAAAACAAACCAAAAAACCAAAAACTGAAAACCAAAAAAATTTTTAAAAGGGCCCAGATTCCATCACTAATTTTGCTGTCCAACCTTTTGATGTTGGGTCAAATCCATGGATGAATTTTCTCCAGGCTAAATACTTTTATCTACCTACATGTATGTACATAGATTATGTCATGCTTCACAGAGCTTATCAAAATATGCAGCCGTTTCAACTCTGACAGACTCCTAGAAGAGGCTTGATGAGAGATTGCAGAGAAAGTAGGTGTGTTTTGCATGAGACCCCAACATACACCCCAACGCTGCCTCTGTACTGGCTGAGCTGACCCCATACTGGAAACCCTTGGTTGCAGTTAATAAGGTGTTAGGCTTCTTATCCAGAGTCTAGTAATCACTTAAATGAGTAAGAGAAGATGTGGCATGGATCCACTCTAGTCCTCCATTCAGAATGTCCCAACTGAGGTAGTATTCACGGAATTAGTACTGCTAATAAGAAACTATCATAGACGCTTCCAATAACCACAGAGGGCTCTCAATACGGTGAAAAACAATGGATCCGAGAAAGCAAGGATTCTGGGTTATTTGTAGGCCTCCCAATGACTGAACAGATTTAACTGCTTGTACACGATGAACAGAGTACAAATGGATTAGTCCTGTTAACTCCAACTTGGTTAATTTGGTGTATCCTCCACTTTTTGTTTGCTTCTCTGACCTCATCTTCTTATGAAAACTCCCTGTACTGTTTACCACACCCCTTTAACTTCAAGCACTCTGAAAGCCATACTTACTTCTCTTCTTTTTACAAAAAATATCTTAGTCTTCCTCCACTATGAAAATTGGTGAAGCCTGAGGTTTACCCAAGATCTAATTCCACTGCTGGGCTCATGCCCTGACAGCCAGGCAGGGTCTTCCCTTAGAGTTTGGAGTACTTTGCAAGCTCCCTGGACAGATTAGGATCAAGTAATTCATCTCATTGGATCTGTTCTTCCATATACACAACACAAGTCTATGTTTGTTATGACTTTCTTGATCCTTATTTATAAGACAATACAAGAGGAAACCATGTGTGTATGTTTGAAATAGAAATGATACATTGCACAGATATAGTTCACCACGTTCTGGGATGGGTTGTCAGCGTTCAAATGGGGAGTCTGAAGAGTAGGAACAGATGCTTTTTTTCCTTAATGGCTCTTTCTCTAATTTAAAATCCTTCCATTTATTTCCCTAAGATTTAGTGATAACTTTAAACACTTTAACTAAATTACCCAGCGGCTTGGCAGCCATCACAGAGGCAAATCTTTTTAGAAATCCTAGCAATCTGTTAGATCATGGGTACTATGATACAAAATCTGCATGCTTCACATACAAAAATTAAATCAGTGCAATGGATACAAATACATAATGCAAATGGCACCATTTCCAAACTGAGGGTACATGACCTGCTTCCAAATATTGAATTTCTATGTTTTCTTTCCGTCATTGACTTTCTAAATTTGGGCCAATTTATTCTCATTATTCCTAAGTAAACCTACTTTGATTTTTTTTTTTTTTACAGTTATTTTATAATCAAATAGAGCCAGCCAGCCCTGATTCATGGATCCTGAGGTTGCTAGGATACATGGTTTCGTACTCGATGAAAGTATATCACTTCAAAGGAGAAAACTTTCAAGTGTCCTAGAATATGACACGCCCGTCTTCCACTGTGGAAGACAGGCCCAATCCTAGAGCTTCTTGGAAGCTCACAGACTGTAGGATTGGCCTCCCCTGCTTTGAAATAAGCATCCTCTCTGGGGGGCTGTGCAATTGCTAAAACTAGTCAGGTTGGTCTTAAATCAAGGAACACACGTATTTATAATAAAACACGTTTTCATGTTTGGTTTTACAGTGAAGAGAAAAAACCCAGAACCCCCAGATTTTATGTACTTTGAAAATATATTTAAAAACATTAAAAATTCTATATTTAAAACATATATTATATGTTAATTAGTACACTTAAATAGAACTTATATTTACAATAGGCTTCTGATGCGGTTAAGTTTTAATGCCAATTTTTTTCAATAACATAATTATATAAATATACTAAAATACAATAAATATTTTTTTGTTTTGTTTTTACATGGTGAATAATATCTTTACCATAGAGAAAACAAGGCCACAGACATTTACTTACATTTTCAATGGGAATCACCATAAAAAAGCAACAGGCCTGCTTGCATGCATGAAACACTTCTGCCACAAAGAGACCACAGCAAGACTTAAAAAAACAAAAAAACAAAACAAAAAAACCAGAACTGAGCAGAACAAAAGTGAACGGCAACAGAGAAAGAGTTTAACAAAATAAATCTTAGGTCAACATAAGCCACCAAGCACGTGACTGTGATATATCCTATGGGGTAAGGAGAGAGCCAGTGACCACACAATTGCTCAGTGTCTCCTATCAACCACGTAACAGATCTGGCCTTTGCCAGGACTTTGAGATTGTGACAGGGACTTCCTGTTTTATAAATTTTGTCCCTCAGAAGCAAGCTGCAAAAAGTTAACATACAGCAAATATGTGTTACATGTCAAAAATAATTACAAAGACAGTATTTTCAAACAGCACAAAACAAACCTCGACTAACGTCTTCCCTCTTTTAAAGGCCGGTGTGTTCAGATGGTATCGTAAAGGGTAGGCTCGGCTCGTTCTAAATGAAAGGCTGAACAAATCAAAATTATTTGCTGATGGCATCTTTATTCCCTGGGTCATGGTGGACGTCCGCTTTTGCTGACCCCTCACCCAACTAAGAGCAGCAACTTCTGGAGGTTTTATGTTATTCAAGGACACTGGTCTAGGACATTTTCAGATTTGGATAGTGGACTGAATGGGTGAGTGGGTTGAGCACTATTTCTCCCAGGACCACTACTGCAGACCCCAACTTTACTTCTCCAAACCCAAGATGGCAGAGGTGAGGCAGGGACCCTCTCCATGAACAGACAGAATGGGCAGGAGGTTGCTGAGGTCTTCACTGGGGAGCAACACTTTGTCAGCTCTGTCCTGGCCTCTTCCATCGAGCAAGGCACCTTTCCAAGCCTGTGGTGTCCAAGATGTGCAGACACCATCTTGAAGTCTTGTCTCTGGACAAGGTTTTCTGTCAGTAGCCTTGGTCATCCAACCTGAGTTTTGGAGCTTTTTCCTGTCCCTTCCCCCTTACCAAAAGTTCTCAGAAAACAAAACCCTGGTTTCCTCAAGTCTAATTTCAAAGCTTAAGTAAGTGTTCAGGTCACAAGGATCTTCTCTTGCTTTTGCATTAGTCTCAAGATCACAATGCCACATTTGGTTCTGAACCTGCTCCAGGCTTATCCAGCTTTAGGATGAATTACCCAGGGGTGGAGAGCATAAATCAGCCTGAGTGGGGTCCTCCAGCGAGAACCTCTTAGCACAGTTAGATAATGTAGGCACTTAAAGCGTGAGGTCCAAGCAACTTGACATAGTTATTCCAGAGCCACCTCTGAAAGGTCCTTCAGAGGCCTCCCTTCTGGAATGTCTCAAGTACTATTCCCCACCCTCACCTAGACCTCAGGATGGCCACTCAGAAATTCCTCCTGCACCACCCAGAAATGACATGTCAGCTCCACACAGCCTCCATAGGGCTGTTCAGTCTCATTTCACTGGCAGTGTGGACTCCTACCCTGATCTAGGCATTTCTGGGTCCTTACAGAACTCCACCTTTTGCTTGCAAGACAATTTTTAAGCCTTACCATGATTTTGTGAAGCCTTACAATGATTGACTGAATGTTTACTCCTCGTAAAAAAGAATCTTCGTTTTTGTATTTTGTTGTCCTTTTCTCTTTAAAAAAGAAAAAAAAAAAGAGAAAAGAAAGAAAAAAGAAAAGAAAAGTAAAGAAAGAAATCACTGTTCTCCATGCTTATATGAGTGCCACAGGGACAAAATTGGTTCACTCGTTCATAGCAGTGGTAATATATTTCAGAGCGCGCAACTGATTTTTCTTCTTTTAAGAGAAAACAAAACAAAGAGGGGACCAAAGGGGGAGGGAGGGAAAGAATGTGCTCTATGAAAATGTCGGTCTTTCCGATAAAAGGAGCCTTCCCTGACCAAGGCCCGAAGGGCGAGTGGGAGCCTAGGAGGTGCACCGTGGGAAGTGGAGTGAGCACTTTGTTCAGTTGCCTTAATTTTTATTCATTTTCCAGTCATCTGATTGATATTGCAAACATCTTTACAACATACAAATAAATCCCTTATCAACCAGAATAGATAGTTAAATAATTCTTTCCCCATCCCTACTCCCTATGGGAACTAAAAAACAAAACAAAACAACAAAACAAACAAAAAAAACACAAAACAAACAAAAATATAGCCCTCCCATCCCCCATTCCCTAAGCCAGTAAAGCGATGACAACAGCACCTTGACATTGTTTTAATTCCAACGCTATCAGAAGTTAAAAGCAGTAAAACAGATAATAGTACTAACAAGAACGAAGATACTTACTGTCTAAAATGTAAACGGAATGTTTTGGTTCAAATTTTTTTTTTTTTTTTTTTTTGTTTTTTTTTTGAAAGAGGACAGTTTATTATCAATTCACAATTAAAGCAGCATGCAATTTATTGTTTTTTTTTTTTTTTAACTTTTTACGTTTTCAATTCTTGGCAACGGCAACAAACCACAACATTATCGAGGAATGTAATGCAGACTTTTTAAAGTTGTGCGCAAAATGACTGTTTCCCTTCTGGTCATGGATAGGTCCAATAAATAGACTGTAGAACCACTGTACTGTATAAACTTCATTTATACATGCAGTTCATAAAATTATTTTTCTTAACTGAATAATTTACCCTGTTATGTATATATACAAATAGATAATTTTTGTCTCAATATAATCTATACAACATAAATCAACTATCTTCCCCTTTTAATGGTCAATGTACATACACAGGAAGTGTCTATCCTTATGAATCGCCAGCCAATTCTCTTTTTGCTATCCATGGTAAGGGCCCGCACGTACGACTGGGTAGTTCGGCACTGGGAGTTCCAATGCCTTTTGTCTATGCCCCTGCAGCCCTCCTTTGTGTAACCCATAGGATTGCACTTAGTCTCATAGAAGTACTGCTTCAGCTGGCCTTTTGATACGGGGACTTTTTCAAGGACCGTGACCGTCCCGCCCGACATGTCCACTGCAGTCTTTTTATCCGCTGCTGTCACCCACTCGCTAATGCTGTCGCATACGCTCAGCTCCCCACGGCGGGCGGGGTCAGAGTGGCGCCGGACCCTCATAGACATGTTTGCAGCATCCAGGTAATTTTTGTATTCCTCGAGCAGAAACAGGAGAGGAGGCTCCAAAGGCACTTGACTACTAAGCATTACCCTGGAAGTATACAAGTCCGCGTCCTTATTGTTCTCTTCATTGGGCCGCACTTTCTGGTCCTCGTCCAACAGCTCTTCTATCACGTGTTCAAAAGTGTCAGCCAAGGAAGTCAGGCCTCTGGAGCCTGCCTTGGGCCCATTCATGCTCTCCAGAGTCCCATGGGTCCGCACACCTGGGTAGGCCAAGCTGCCTTGTCCTCGGACGTTTGCTTCCTTCATAGGGGCAGCCTTCATGCAACCGAAGTATGAAATAACCATAGTAAGGAAAAGGATGGTCATCACTCTTCTCACCTGGTGGAACTGCAGGGAGAAAGCAGAAAGAGGACACAGAGCTCGTTAGGGCTTTCTTCCGCGGGGTGTGGGGGATGCAATGTGACTGTACTATGCAGTGAGAAGCAGGGGATTGTAATTCCAGGCCAGGGTCAAGGGTTTTATGTACTGGTGATAAACTCCAGCTGCAATCGGACACAAGTTAATGTCAGGAGTGTGCTCTATGTGGTTTAATATAAACCTGAGACCGTGCTGTGTTTGCCCCAAGACGAGGCATTGAAACCCGAGGTTAGATGGCTTCTAAGCAAGTGAAAAAAAAAATGGTGCCTTCAAGGTCTCCTCCTTCCTCCCACTTTAGCAGCTTTGTAAGTTTAATTTTTAATGATCTCTGCTCAGGCTGTCACAAGAAACACAAAATCAGAAATGTTACTAAGCAACAACTGCAAGTGTAATAGTCATTTTTTTTTTTCCCCCGAGTTGGCAACATGGTCCTATTGAGGGAACATGTGACAGGAATGGTCGTGGCCTGAGGGGTCTGTGGGGGCCTTCCTAGCCTTGTGATATCTAGGCTTGAGGAGCACCATAAAAAAGAAGTCAGGGAGCTGTAAAGAGCCTTTACATTGACTTTTTTTTCCCCCCTCCCCTAGAGATAAACTATCAGAACAAAGCAGAAAGATAATTCCATCAAGCCATCCTGCTTTACAGATAAGGAAACCAAAGGACTTGCTTCCTGTCCTGAAGAAAGTTTATATTAGAGCTTGGGGCTCCCAACATCAGCTCCAGAGTTTCCCTACTACACCTGGGTGGTCACAACTGAAAATGTTTTGCTTATTTCCAAACACAAATCATTTTCTAACCGTTGATTTTAATGGTGTGTCTATGCCTGGGGCTGATATGAAAACAATGTGTCTGCTTAAGAGAGAACTGGAAAAGTCTGCATTAAAAAGGCACTGAAGTCAATTTCAAATGCCTCCCAGATGCAGATCCACAGTTATCTCCAGCAACTCTCTGAGCCCCCCAGCCCTTGGCTTTCCTGGCTCACGTACAGACCCATCTCAGAAAGCTCAGCTTCTCCTTCCACTGGAAATGTGGTCTGGTGTATATATGTATGAGAAGGCTCCGAGTTTATCACACCTTTAAAAAGCTGAGTGGCATTTTGCACATTTTGGAATAAGCAGCTAGTGCTTCTTTCTGTGCTTTTGAAGTTTTCTGGGAAGTCCCTTAACAGCACACCACAAAATTAATCTTTTCCTGTTTGCCAGAGGGTTTTCCAGTGTAAATTTGGCTGCATGTCCACAGGCAGGCTATGGGAAGCCAATTAGAATGGGCGAACAAACAACATGAAAACATACCCATGGACCGACCCAAGGTTACCATCAGACGGTGAAGGACTTCAATGTCACTTACCTGAAGCTCTGGGTCCCTTAGCAAGACAGAGAAGCATCCCCCAAGTCCGACAGTCTAACTACTTCTAGTTCTCAGTTCCGGAGCAAGGACTTAGAAAGAGACACACACATGCCCTAGTCGTTACGCTGTGCTACCCATGGACTTCCTGTCCATGAAGTGTCACCGTGCGGGAAGGCAACAACCTACCTCCTCCAGTCAATAGGTCACACTGCAGAAATGGCTGCAAATGCTGGTACAGAGAAACAACGCTTCTGTTCTCCGCTTTTAGAAGAGATCTATTATGGTCCCCAAACACCCACAAATTTCCTTGTGGATTCACTCTCACTTTGCACAAAGAGCAAGCATGCTCAGGGCTGTCTGGAGTACACAAGGGTCTGCGGGTAGGAAGAGCACCCTGGTTTGAATGAACCACAAAGACCCATTCCGCTTACACCTGAACTTTTTGTGAATGTCCCGGACTCTTCACCATCAAAGAAATGCATCCTCCGAGGAGCTTCCTATTCCTGGCAGGTGGTATTTACACCACTGAAGGAAAACCCTTTTTCCTAATGTTCCCTGTTCAAATTAAAACCACCAAGGGGCACCTCAGATGGAGGCTGAGGAAAGAATGCAAATCTAGAATATTCTACCCCAGCCATCTATATCGCTCCGGTACAGATCTGCTGTGATCAGTCATCTTTCAATACTATTATTTCACTAAATCTAAGATACTGGCATTACAAAACACACCATTTTGTGTACCACTAAGAAATTAAAAATGAAGCCAAAAGTGCTCTCTTTATCACCCCAAACTGTTACTGTATACTTACCGAAGAGCTCTTTTAGACTTATTAGGACACATTTTATCATATATAATTTTTCTGCAAATGTAACAAAAGAAAACCAAGCAAAGTAAGTTGGGTTAAGGTGATGAAAGTTGTGCTGGGACTCCTTCCTACCTGGCCAACCAGAACAACAAAAGGACATCAACTGCAGGACACAAGCCATTTCGAAGATGTTAAAAATATGAACCAGAAAATGCTCATTTTGGAATTAATCAAAGAGAGTAAATCTTGTAAATATTTACTAAGTGCCCACACAAACTGCTTAAAATGGGCCAAGGTCCTCAGGCATCTTCAACTACAGAGGCGAGCCATTGCTTTTTTACCTCGACCAGTGATGAGTCTCTTAATGACACCTTTTTCTGCACTTGGCTTAAAGACGTTTACCCTGCCTTTCACTGGTCTCATCCTTTTCTTAGTAACTTTTTGGTTACAAATGTAGTGAGTCCTTTGTATATTCTTCTTAGCAGTTCCGTAAGTAACTATTTCAGAGGAACAAAGGCTACCTGAGTCCATATAACTTGGCTTACATCCTGAAGCCCACACTGGGGGTATCTCTCAAAGCTGATCTGTACAGAGTCAGTAATGAACTTTCTAGTGCCGAAGTCCAGCCCCCATCTCCAGCCCTGCCCTGAGGGACACTTCTGGGATGCTCACTGCCTATTCACTCACAAGGCCCAGTAATGCATCCAACACCCAACTCAGTACTTTTTGAGGGGACAATGTTACTCCCTAACTTTTCTGTTTCTGACAATGATTTCTAAATGCTTTGGACCATCCAGGCCAAAGGTGAGGAGTCTTGGAATCAAGTTTGACCGTACATTTCAGGTATGGTCTTCAAGTACAGTCAGCAAAGATTCCTGCTCATTTTTCCTCTGAGACATTTTTCTTCTCCATCCCTTTTCCCTTCCATCCCGCTGCCACCATCTTGGCTCAGCTGTTACCGTCTCATCTGGGACTACAATGTCTCCCTGATGTACTTCACATCCTTTCTGCTCCATTCAGCCACGATGACCACTGCCTGACTAACCACTCTTAGCTCATCATTCTCTTACAAAAACTTGCAATGGCATTTTTGTTCCACTAGGTCCCATCTAACCTCTTTTATCTGGTATTCACACCCCTCAAAATTTGGTCTTACCTTACCTCTACTCTGATCAGGCCAGAGTCCCTGAAGCCCCGGAAACATTATTGCCTGGAAGTGACTTGTTCCATTCCTGGCAAACTCTTTTCTCTCTGACTAAGTCTTGTTCATCCTTCATGGCCCAGTTCAAACATCAAATCATACATGCCACCTTCCCTAATTACTCTAGCACACACTGTCCTCCTTTCTCTTCTAAAATTTGTGTGTTACATCTCATTTAGTACTTCATTCCCTACTCGCTTGTTAATTGTTGATGATGTTTGCCAACCACGGGCAGTCTTCAGTTAGATGATAAGCTCTCTGAGGGAATGAATCATGTCTGACCCAATTAATGCTTAACATGGAGTAATATAATAGTTCTCAGTAAAAACTTACTGATGACTTGATTAAACCATGAGAAGACAGTTTTGACCTAATTTTCAGGGGAAGCCTTCCCATTTGAAAAGCATCAGTGAACCCACGGAATTATTTGGTCAAGTATAGGCCATGCTAAACCCAAATTATAAGCTTGAAGAGATCTTACAGATGTCAATGATCAGCCATGAGGAATCTCTTCAGCTTCTCTCAGAGTGCAAAGCTTTACTTGGATGATTTCTAAAAAGCAAATAACATGACATCATATGAACAGCCCCTATCATTTGTGTAGCTCTGTTTCTAATAAGAGACTTTGAAAAAGCAGCCAGTGACAATAATCATAGCAAAACTTGAACTTTTAGGTCTTGTAACTGCCTTTTTCGCTGTTAACCTCTTCAGTGAGTGATTTTATACACTGTCTCAGGAAATCCTAAACGTAAGTAAAAGCTTCCATGGCAATTCCAAACGTTTTAGGCCCTTCAGAGGAGACTTTGTTACGCCAAAGATGAGAGGCGGTGTGATCCTGCTAAGTAGACAGTCTATATATCTCTTTATACGTAATAAATTCACTGGGGCTGTCTAATTCTGCTCCAAGGCTTACAACAATCAACTCAACCACATCTATAAAATGCTAGAGAGGATTTCTTTTTTAGCCTCATTCTCAAAAAATTAAATATAGTACACCAGGCTAAAAAGAAAATCTACAAAATAGAAGGAAAGTTAGTTTTAAGCATGACTCACAAGTCTTAAACATTCAACCAGATGAATACCCATGACAGCATGCTATAGTAATAACTTAACATTTCTCTTAAAGACTGTAGAACACTTACAAGTATGATCTAATTTGACTGTTATAAGGAGATAAGGCAGGTATTATTATCCACATTAAACAGATGAGACGATTATGGTTCAGAGAAGTTTACAGGTTAGTTTTTCGTCCAGGTTTTTAACCATCAGGACATGCTGCTGGGTTTACAATATTTAACTGCAGGAAGAAGAGAGGCTCTGCACAGAGGGTGGTCAGAGAAGGAGCTTCTAAAATGTGGCCAGAGCTCTCAGCAGGTGTGTGTATCCTGGAGCCCGACCTTCTGAAGGCAGCACCACTGAGATGCTGCTTTGTAGTACTGGGTAATTGTGACCCGGAAGACCCTTCAACTTTAATGCCATTCCAGTGGATGGAATTTCAGACAGCATGGCCTTCCTCTAAAGGAAAGCTCTGCAAAAACTTAGGCACCCTAGAACAACATTTCCATGGCCAAGGCTAAGAAGGGAAAGCAAACAGTAATAGGGGTAATTCAGGCAAA